GGTTGCATCAAAGGGCCAGGTTTTTCACCCAACCAGCACTCGGTCTTTCATGCAAAACCTCCTCCCTGCGCAGCGCCGGAGAGCTTTTACACGAAGGAATCCGAGTGAATTGAAAACGTGGCTCAGCCTGAGAGCTTGTGTGCAGGTCTTGGTTAGATGCAAAAACAGGCCGTTTCCCATTTTCTGGAGCTGAGAAACCACTGCTGTTTGTTGAAAAGACACATCACATCCTCTCTGGTGTCTGGCACTGCATAGCACTTTATGCTGAGGGGTCTCCCAAACTGTAAAAAAAATGCTATTGATTTACCAAGAAACTAACAGAACCACTACAACATCAGACATATTAACTCCACTTTAAGATGTTTTAATTTCACAAATCTCTCTTTCATTTTACTTTTATTAGAGAAACAGTAGTATCCACAAAGTCTTTATAAGAGAAATAAGGACACTTTTAAAACAACCACACAAAGTGCTAAAACTGATTTTGGTTTTTTAAATTTGAACCGAGAGTTTGCTTCTGATCCCATTCTCATTCTGCCCTATGCATGCTTACGTGTTACTATCAGTGCTTTGGTTTGTTTCTGGATGCCTGTTGTTGCTGTGTACAGTTAGCCGAGCTATTTGGAGCACTTAAGTTGAATGAACTGTAAATACAGTCTGGTTCAGTGGAGATTGCACTGCGCTTGTATTACGACTGCAGCTGAGAATGTCTTATAGTTACACGCGCGCACACACACACACACACACACACACACACACACACAACAGTTGTGATACGTGGGCATGCATCAACACACACATGCAAACATACACACAAGACCCCTTAAGGAAGAATCACTTGTTTTTCTTACCTTTTCCAGATCTTGCATTATATCATCTTGTTTATACAACTGTAAATAAAATATACTTACATTGCCAAGTCTAACAAATCCTGTGATTTTATTATTTTATTATCAATTACTTACATATTGATTGATCTGTCATTTTTTATTAATCTGTTAATTATAGGAAATATTAAAACATGTCCAACAGTTTCCCAGCGCTCAAGGTGGTATCTTCAAATAGCTTTTTTTGTCCAACCAACAGTCCAAATGAAAATATATTCAATTTGTGATGGTATAAAAGCAGCAAATACTCACTTTTGAGAAGATGGAGCCAAAGAATGTTTGACATTTCTGCTAGATAAATGGCTTTTATTACGGCTGTAATTATTAATTACCAAAATGGTAATTTTCTTCCGATTCACTGATGGATTATCCGACTCATCATTTCAACACAAATTATTTTTAGAATTGCACATTAGGAAGTGAGTAAACGTTTTTGTCGCATAGCAGCTATTTTAAGAGTTTCAAATGGCTTCCCAGTTAAAAATGAAAGACTGTAAGCACATACTGCACCAGGAGAAATAAAAGTATAAGGGGAGAACAAAACATACAAAAAGAAAATGTGCAGTGGGCCAGTGAAGCATAAGTGCATGATGGAGACTTTTCACCATTTTTCCTGCTCTGGTCAACTTACATGTTTGATGATTTTTTTCTTAAAAGAAAAATAGAAACGTGCAATAATACATTTTGTCTAGAACTTCTCCCAAAAAAGCTCTCAAAGTGCAACAATGCAAAATGATGATAAACGTTATGTGTGGTTTGTTGTTTTGGGTCTTTGGTCTGCATGCCTATAGACTGTAGGGTTGACTCCTAACTGCTCTTAGCAACTTCGTATAAAACTGTAAGCCACAGTTTCCAGCAAACAAGCTCAGACAGTCCGAGTGTTTGACACCAGCCCAGCAGCAGACAGCAGCAGAGAGCCAAATCCAGTGGCTGGTGAACAATAGTTGAGACAGATCCTGTTGATGGACAAGAGTGAATCCAGGATATTGAACGGGTAGACAGGACTGCATTTGGATGATTATGTTGCTCTGTGTCTGGTGAATGTGTGAAGGAAAATGGTAGCTAACAGTATGTCAGGGACAAACTGTATCCTGTTTAGGTCCAGACTAAAATATCTAAAAAAAACTATTGGATAGATTACCATGACATCTCGTTCACACATTCATGGTCCTTACAGGATGAATCCTTTCGTTTCACCTGATTTCATGACATTACCATCAGCCTCAGCTGTAGCTACTACTGTTGGTATTATAACATGCTAAACTGGAGATGGTGAACAAAAGAACTTGCTGTTAAACATCAACATATTAACTTTATCACTGTGGGCATGTTAGCATCATGCAGAGATGGATCTAGAAAAAATATTCATGGGGTGGCCAGAAGGTGGCATGGAGAATTTAAGGGGTCACAGAAGTATATCCTGATTTAATTGCAATCAATCACATATATCAACATTTGAACATAACATTATTGGGGGATATTAGTAAAGCATTAAACAGGAATACCTAAAGGTGGCATTAGGAATCATTAAATCATTTCCAAATCTTCAGACATGTTTCCGAATATATCCTTTTTCTGATTCTGATTCTGATTTTTAGCTGAACTTTAATTGTGGCCATAACAGTTCCTTCCATTTTCAAATTAATCTGAATTAATGTATTAAATTTGACACTAAACTAGGGTGGCAAGGAATGTTTTATTGCTGGCAGCTTCCATCTTATACCACCCCCCTAAATCTGGAACTCCACTCAAAACACCACTGCACCTACGTTAAACTTCACACTGCCGCTAACGTGGCTGACTTTTACTCTTGTTAATCCAGACATCTGGTTGGTTAATGTCCCTTCCACATATTTGTAACATGTTATTAAGAAAACAACTGACAAGTATAATAAAATCAAGGGTTATTCCTGTAAACCTCTTAAGATGTCATGATGCATATGTACAGACATTAGGCTAATCTAATAACATGAAAAGGTTAATATATTATGACCCTTTCAAAAGCTAAAATGCTACCCACACAGTCATCGTCACAGTCAGTAAAATCTTTAATTAAATTACGAGTGTCATCATTAATTACATCATGGCTGTCTTTGTTAATTAATGACAGACCTGGCAGAAGCAGAGGTGGGTCGCAGCATATTGTCAGGTCTGTTATGGTCCATTGACCCTCTGCCCTGATCACAGCCGACACTCTGTCACACTCTGTCAGAGAGATTCATGTGACGGAGTGCTCCAGAGTTCTGTGGAACCAGATTTGAAGTACTGGTCTGAACCCTCCACTTTGATGATACACTGTTTTATGGCTGAATTTAGCTTCTTGTTTTATTTATTTTCCTGTTTTTGTAGTGAGTTTTATCTAAACTAAACTCCCAATTACTGTTAGTGAAAACAGTAGAGTAGGCCATAATAAGATTTTCATTAGTGTATCACCTGAAAATAAGAATCATTGTGTTTTTCGTTACTTTAGAATAAGCCGTTTTTATCTTCAGAGGGAACTTGTCTTCTTTGCCGAGGCCACTATGTTTCTACAGTAGCCCAAAGAGGACAAACCAAACACTGGCTCAGGCCTTAAAATATCTCTCTTAGGAAGAACAAAGGCAGCTAGAACCTTTTACAGACAACAGTATAGGCCTTTTTCACAGCAGACATTTTGACCTGTCACAGTAGGAAAAGCAGGAGTGACTAACATCAACAACTAACAGCAGCTTACATGTTCACATTGTTATTGTGAACATGTTAGCATGCTGATGTTAGCGTTTAGTTCAGCCACACATGAATCGTGTTACTGGATACATCCAGCTATATTGGTTATTTTCCCTTCCATACAATCTAACAAGTATAGAGTGACACTGTCAGCAAGCCATCAACCAGCATGCACCATTCCAGGGTCCTGAAACCAAAGCAGCTAAATACCATTCATTCATTCGTTCGTTCATTCATTCATTCATTCAAGTGTTTTAGGAGATAGGCCCTATCTTGAGATTAAAAGTCAGAATATTTCAGCCTCTGCTGCTTTTATCTCCTTAAGTCTCCAAACTGTATTGAAGTGCAATACTAAATAGCCTAATATCACTATAATTATAAAATAATATAAAACAACTGGAGTACCTCTTTAAAAAATGTCTGAACAACTACAGTTCAACGACAAGTGAGGAAACTGATGAAGACTGTGTGTTATAGTTGAAAGCTCCAGAGCAATAGTAAATGGATCTTGAGTTGAGATTACTTAAGTTGTTTCATTACGAATGATTTTAATTACAATTTAGTCATGTAATGTATCTTTTTAATTTATAGCAACCATCTATGACAGGGTCTCTTTTTTATTTTATTTTTTATTATTTCACTTTTCACAGCTTCTTCTTTTAGGTCTTTAATTCTTAACATATGGGATGGTTTTTTGCTCTTCTCTTCCTCCTCTGTGCTCTGCAGTTATTGTGGATTTTACATGTAGGTCCACTTTTATTGGCAGCTGCTTGTTAACTTTATTTCACTGTACTGACACGGGAAAGTCAACAGTGGAAACATAACAAACATTAACATGTCTGGATTATTATACGCTGGACTGAAATGTATTAAAGAGCTTGAGCTATTTTACATCTCATGTCTACCATAAGATATAGAAACTTAGATGGAATATTGTTACATTAACAGTAGCCTATGTGTGTTTTTTGATACATCTATTGTACAAAAATTCAAATTAGTGACAACATGAAGAATAGCACAAGTGCAATGCTCCTTCAAAAATAACTCATTATACATTCTGCTAAATTTAGCCCCAGTCAGAACAGGATTTCAGCAAAAATAGACTTTAAAAAACTACATGTACAAAGAAAGTATAGGCCTTCAGTAGAAACTTCACTTCCATGCTTTACTCAGAAATTCAAATGAGGATGTCATTTGCAAGTCAGGTTTCAAGCTGCACCTATTCACATGCAAATACTTGACAAAAACAACATCCAGCTCTGAATCCCTTCAGTCTACAATCTGGGCCTCTGCCAGCCTGGCCACCCCTTGTTTTCCCATTGATGACTGAATAATTATGAATCACGTGATGTCCCTTCTCACTCTTATATAATGTCATAGGTGGAGATAATACTTCAACTCCAACCTAAATAACCACTGAATGTGAATGAGCAGCAGTTCCTCCAACCAGCTCCGGCCATAATAAAAACATTTTTCCCTCCATGGCACCAGTAGCCTTGGTGCTGCTTCCATTCACTGGCCGAGGAGGAACGTTTGAAGCACATGGAGGTAGGACTTGGCTGCGGGGACATAAATCAGGGTCAGGCTCTGCAGGCTCAAGTGAAATGTAAAACAGGAGACAGGAGGCAGGCAGCAGCAGGTGAAGCGTGAACCCACAGTCGGGCTGTGATAACGCCCGGCCAGCGGGAAGCCATCAGCCGCTTCTCTCACTTGGCCGCTATTAAGTCAACGCTCACATTTCCAGCGGGCACAGAGCAGAGCTGCACTTCTCACTTTCACTTCATGGCTCAGCGCTCCGCTCATCCTGTCGTCCCCATCGCGCTGCTGGTGTTTGGACTTGTTGCGATCCTGCTCCTGACGATCCCCACGGAAGACGTCCGGGAGGCACCGGGGTTCATGGTAAGGTCGGTTCCAACCGTCGGGGGGTATTTTTGGATAAGCGTGTTAAGTGGTCGGGATGGTGTAACCGAAGCTCTGCTCTGCAGGCAGCACACTGGCAGCAACAAGGTGTTACACAGAATTATGTATGTGTGTAGTAGAGGATTATGGGACATACTTGAATGTAGGTTATTCTTATTTACTTCTCCATGAAGTTTAACAATATCATCCTCACATCCATCAGTTAGTTTGATTGTCTCTGCTCAGCTGTTGAATGTTAACTCTATGGAAGTCCAGGAATGACAATATTAAAAGTTCAGGGTGTAACATTTAAGAGGATCTATTGGTAGAAATTGATTATATTATTAATAGGTATGTTTTCATTAGTGCATAATCACGTGGAAAATAAGGATTGTTGTGTTTTCCTTTCCTTAGAATGAGCGTTTTCTTTTTAATCAACAAACGCCGCCTTCCATGGAGTTCGCCATGTTGAACCACCATGTTTCTACAGCAGCCAACAACAGACGAACCAAACACTGTAGATAGGAACATTAGCATTTTTGCAAGTTTTGTGGCCACCATAGTTTCTCCCACACACCTCATAGTTTGTTCTCATTCCCAGGTCGTCAAATACAGATGCCAGCAGTGTTCAGTTATGAATGCGCAAGAGGTTACAATATATAATATGACAATAAATGGAGAGAATTATTTAGTAGTTGGCACAAATGATTAAACCAAGCTGATTCTATGCTATCTACAGGGGTTCACATGTGAAAAGTCACATTAATGAACACTTTAATTTTGGGAAACCCACCACATACCTGTCTTGTAAGCTCAGATTTTATTATTTGCAATTCAAAAGACATAAAGATGTAAAAACTGGGCTGAAAGTCTTACAGATGTCCAGGTAACACATGATTATTGTTTCATCACCATTTCATGATTATAGGCTACATCAACATGCCACGTGTGACCTCATTCACAAGAACCCCTATGAAATTAAATGTGAACTGTACTTTTCATTTTCAAACCATCAAACAACAGAATTTGTTACCCGTGAAAAAACCCCAAATTAAAAGGCTCCCTTTGTCTGTTTCTTAGTTTATTATCAGTATGTTGTTTGCCTATCATGAAAGTAACATTGTGATACATTTGCACTCAAGTGACCTCACGGCTGAAATGCTGATAAACTATAGTTACCTCATTGTAATGAAAAACTTAAGCTGTGGAGAACCCTGATGAAGATACTGCCCTTCTTTCAGAATGGAAATCCAGGTTTAATGGTCACCCAAATAAATAAATAATAGGCTCTGCTGTCTAATAATTGTAAAAAAAAAATTTAAAAAAAAACATGAACCAAGAAACTTGAAAGACAAACTGTAGTGCAGTGCTGTTTTGGCATTCAGAGCAGGATTGTTGCACAGATCAACTCCAGCTCCTGTTCCTTCAGCTCCCTCATTTTTGTGTTACAGGCTAAATATCCCATGGTTCCTTTTTTGTCATAATGCGGCCACCCTTTCACTCAATAACAATGCTGTCGACCAGTCACAAAAAAAGACACAAAAGGCTTTTTCTTTAATCTGTAACAGAGACAAGTGCAACAGTTCCCATAGTGTATTAAATGAAAGGACAAGGCAGATCATTAGAGCTCCTCTGTGTTTTTGGCCAGTGTTGGAGCCAGTCCTTACAACTGACTGCACAGCAGTAATGAGAAAATATTATGAGAAATATCAGGGCACACACTTCCACATGACCTTACAGTTCACCTGTTACTGTACTGATGTGAGAAGTTGTCTGCTCGCAAATGCGAGGCATGTGCATGTGTATGTATTTCTGCACGTGGATTTATGTCTGTGTGTGTGTGTGTGTGTGTGTGTGTGTGTGTGTGTGTGTGTGTGTGTGTGTGTGTGTGTGTGTGTGTGTGTGTGTGTGTGTGTGTGTGTGTGTGTGTGTTTGTGCTCCCATTTTTTTGGATCGTCAGTCACATTCCTTCTTGTATGGTTGGATTTCTTAACAGTCTGAGTGTTTGCTTGCAGACATCAAACTTGCTGTAATTTTATATTTTACATTGTAGTCAAAGCATAAACAATGTCAGGGAAACAGGTTTTTCATCACAGCGAGTACACCGTGGCATTTGAGGAAGTACTTTCTGCTATAAAACTGGGAAAATCCGTCTCAACTGTCTCAGCTGTTTGGTAGAAATTACTTCCTCGAATGCTTCAGATAAATGGTGGGAATTTATATTCAGGATGTAAAACTGTCCTTTCACTCATGCAGATGATTTCTATTAATCTTGTCAGTACAGGTTCCTCATATGGTAAGGAAGTGTTATGATAGAGACTGAATCCATCCATATCCAATTCTTGAATGGAGGAAAATTGGATATGGAAGTGCGGTGCACTCAAAGAAAAAACAGACAACTTAGCTATTCTTGGATTACCATTAGTGGGGCAGTTTTTTTTAATTTGGCCTGAGAATAGCGCCTAAATCTTAAAAACAAAACTACTTTGTCAGCCTCAGCTGTATTTAATTTCCATGTAGGCTACTGTATTACTTCAAAAAGCTATTTCTTATTGCAGCTGCCAAAACAGTAAAAAACAAAACAGAAATTTAAAAGAAAATACAAGGAAGATAAAATAGAAAGAGTTTATTTACAAAATCTTACAAATATCTGCTGGAGCCAGACCATGGAGTGCTTTAAAACTAATAAGTAAAACTTGTAAATCACCCAATGTAAAGAGGCTAAAATGGGGGTTGTGTGATCTCTTATGTTGGTTCTAGTTAAGAGTTTGATTGTAGCATTCTGTATGAGTTGAAGACAAGAGCAAGCTTTGCCACTCAGGCAGGTTAACAGTTACAAATGGCGAAATTATTTATCAGTTATCAGTTATGGAAAATATAAAGGCATGTATAACTTCGGAGAAATACTACCTTTTGAATATGAACTTTATAAAAACAGGACTGTACATTTTTATTAATGATGATCATGATAACCACAATTAGGTCACATCTGTTTTTCTGACACTATAGAGGAGGTGCATTATTAACAGTATTATTTCGGATTTGCCTTCATTGAGTTAGAGGAAGATATTAGCCACCCATTTAAGTTAGACAGTTCTTTAAGACATGTTGTCCCTGATTTTACAGCTACATAAAGTGGTGTGTCATCTGCATACCAGTGAATGGAAATGTTCTGTATTATTTGGTCAAATAAGCATTTTTATACAAATTGGGAGGGGACTGGCGAACAGTGTGGAATCTAGTTTATCATACAGCCAAAACAATATGGATCTGTCATTAGAGAGGCAACTAATAACTTTAAAAAAGTACAAAATTAGACCTAATTTTATAGGGAAAAGGAGCAGTGAGAGACAAACAGAACAAACTTATTTCTCTTGACTCTTCATCTCTGCTCACTTCTCTCTGTGTATACAAAACCTAAAACCATATTTTGAAAAAGTCTGAGTTGTGTTATTTTGACTCAGGTGGACAAGGAATTTACTAACTGCTTTCAACTGAAAACGGCAACTGAATTCCTTTCACTTAAGTTCCTCAATTTGAAACTGAACAGTAAAAAGTACAATCCTAGGGGACAGATGAGTGGCAGGGTGAAAATTGTGGTACGAATCTAGGATTTCACTGCTGTAGTCTTCACTTTAATATCAGATGGTTGGGAGTTAATGAGTCCCAGATCCAAGGTTTTCTGTATGTTGAACTGATCTTTGCCCTCAATACATAAACCTCCCTCACAAGCACTAGTTGATTCAATATGTAAATTTTCATGCAAAATGGAAGAAGTAGGCTAAATGTGTAAATCTTGTAAAATAGAAAAGCTGTTCATCAAAGTGCTAAAACCTTAATAAGCAATGTCAAATGATTCAGAGTTAACATCAATAAGGTTATATGAATATTTTTAAGGTAAAAACTTTATCTTTTGATGATAAGCAGTCTAAGGGAAACTCAATGTGTTCTTTTAAACTCAATAAACAACTGGAATATATGTGAATAACACAATTAAATTGTGAAATAGCATTTTTTTCAGAAATCTTTTCTTAAATTTTAAACATAACATAAAAAAACACACAGGTGAAGATGTGCAATATTATAATGTCTTATAGTCCTGGCTGTATATAAACAGAGACCCAGAGTAGAAAATGCAATGCAATCAGCGTCTGCCCCCCACTTGTGTATTTGTGTAATAAAAACCCCCAAAGGCTGTCTTTGAAGTTTGACATTATAAGTTAACCTAGTCTGCAGCCAAATGCTTTCCAGATGCCAAGTCACACAGCCACGATCGTAAACTCTTTCATGTTCTTCTATCTTGTTACCACTGTCAGCTCCATTATCTTTTGGAAATACCATCTCTATTCCCAATCGCCTTCACTGTTTTAACCTCTTTTGATGTTTTTTTTCTGCCTCTTACTCTCTTTAGTATGGCATTGTCTTGGATGCTGGATCTTCGCACACAGCTTTGTATATATACAAGTGGCCAGCAGACAAACAAAATGGCACAGGCGTGGTCACCCAGCACAAGGAATGTCATGTTAAGGGTAAGTATCAACACTTTTTCCACCAAAGATCTATGTTTTGAGAGGTGGCTCTAAAAAGTTAATTACTTTCTTCTTCTCAGAGGACAGCACCTTCACAGTAAAAACACCATGGAAACCAAAACAGCAACACTATCTGTTTCTCCTCTGTTCATTCTTATGCTTAGTATGTTCCAGACAGTAATCATTTTTCAAAAATATGGCCTCTGTTTGGCGATATCACAGCTGTTGCTCATGACAACCATTAGCAAGCTAATGTTAAGCAACAGCCAACCACATAGCTACAAATAGAAGCAGTTTTGTTTTCATATTTCAGCGACAGTAGGGGTGGTTGGAGCACACAGAGCACGCATACTGTATGAACAATAAATACAAATAAGTGATTTATGCTGCAGGAGAGGTTGAAATTGTTAGACCCAGGTGCACTAGTGTGAAATTGAAGCTGTGTATATAGCCTACTATTATGGTGAAAATGTGAGTGCTTGGGGCATACTGAGTATACAGTTAAAAGTAAAATAAGCTGTGGGGGGTTTGTAGCTGTTTTGATCTGATTTGAAAGTTCTTTTTCTTGTTATAGTCACCAGTGGGTTGGATCTGAAATAGTGCCAGCTGTTTCCTGTGAAGGGATTATATTCTCACAGCAAGTAAAGCAAATCTTTGTCTTAGGCAGTTATGAATCAGGAATGAGTCAGAGTGGAGCTCTGTGCTTTGCCACTCCTGGTCTGCCAAAGGGTTTTTATGTTTCTTGACTTAGATAAACAAACACTTTTTTTCCCAATTAGTCATGGACATGGTGTTTACTTTGTCATGTTTCATAATCATAAAAATCTTTAGTCAGAAGTGAGCTTTGATCCTTATATGAATGTCTGAGAGTGATATGCAAAATTACTAACTCATTACAACATTACAACTTGTTCAAATTAGACAATAGACACTCCGCAAAAGGCCACAGGTCAGAGTCGAACCCATGGCTGCTGCAGCAAGGACTTAGACTTGGTACATGGGGCGGCAGCTCTACCAGGTGAGCGCCCAGGCGCCCCTGATATGTTGTTCTTCACGTTTATTTTTCCGTTTGAATCAAGATAAGCAACGTGTATGTCAACATTGATTGATTAATTCTCAATGTTCACCCACTGTTGTGTGTAGATTGTCATGGAGTTTTTCTTCCAGACGGGACATCCCTAGTCTTGTGGGTGTGATCGATTTACATCATGATGTGTGTGGTTCACAACAGCTAACATTATTTTGTGCTAACAGAAGAAAACAAGAATCTACACGTCTATAATGTAGTCAGATGGATTTTTTGTTTAATCCCGTTTACCTCCCATTCAGGTGGAGGAATATCCAGCTATGCGGGCCAACAGGGAAAAGCAGGGCAAAGCTTAGAGGCATGTTTGGACCAGGCAGTGAAGGACATCCCCAAAGAAAGACACCAGCTCACACCTGTGTACCTGGGAGCCACAGCTGGCATGAGGCTTCTGCAGTGAGTCAGTGTGTTTGTCTGTCTGTGTTTATTTTGCTTTGTTTCTACGTGATTTTGTTTTTCTGTCACATGCAGTGCCTCACCTCTGTCTAGTTCTATAACTGAGTGAATCCTTTTTATGCAGTATGACTAAGACAAAACAACCTTGTGCAATATAAAACCAGTATTAAAACATTAAATAAATAAATGAAAAGCACAGGAATCTATTAGTAACTGATATTTTATCCAATAAATTAGATGAATGAATGACTGAATTATTGTTAATGCTCCAATGTCTAATAATCATGTCAGATGGCAGATATATATTAGTTGTGTTATTATTTTATTATGTCGTCTGTTTGATTTTAAGTTTTTCAAATACATATAACACAATAATTAGATAACAATAATAATTATTAGTCTGCTCACAAGCTGTCTAGTTATATTTTAACTTAGCTGACCAGTGAGCTAACAACAAAACATTAATTAAACTACTGTACAATATCAGTACTGTGGAAGAATTTCACTGGACTCACAGGAGTTATAGAAACATTTTCTTGACTCAGTGAACTTGCATATCTTATCTTGTATTACATAATTACATATTTTGCATACAGAACTGTCTGTGACCTATGTCTGTTAAGATATGAGCCCTGTAGGTACGCACCATTTCTTTATTTAAAAGAGGGAAGACAAATGACTATCGCCTGTCCTTCAACACGTAAAAAAATTAAATTTAAATTAAAAAATTAAATTGGTGCCTCTCTGTTTCCCTGCTTATACAAGTAGATATATGGGAGTTTGCTGTTATGAAAACGGAACTAACTAGTTATGTGTGTAAAATCTTCCTATTCCTCCCACTATTTTCTTCCTGTTCTAATTAGCAATCTGCTTGTTTATTGAATGACAGTGTGACTGGTCGTTAAGCTTTGGGAGCACAGAGTAGGTGAGGTTTGACTTCATGCAAATGTGCAGGAGCAAACAGCTGCCCAATCGCTCAGCTGGAGGTTAATATGTAAATCATTTGCTTGCTGCAAACATGTCCAGAAGCTACAATTTAAGTGAGAGGAAACCGCCTGCCTATTTTTATCTGTCTGTGCATTTTATAAGGGCATCCCATTGCCCTCATGAAATTTTGGCACTAATGTAACATGTACATTAATTAACTTATTTAACTGTCGGTTGCAGTCTCTCCATTGCCTCCCTCAGTGCTGGTTGCAGTCTTTTTCTTACACTGCTGCTCATGGACCTTTTATTTTTTAATCGATCTGTGAGATTTGGGATCTGGGCACGAAACTGGGGACCTTCTGAATTTCTGTATGTAAAGGATGATTTGGATCAAGCAATGCAACAGTTTAAATACAACCATTAACAAATCAAAAGACCCAAGTGTTGAAAGGAAGGTACAAAAATAGTTTGCGTAACTAAAATGTGATTAAGTGAGAGAGAGAGATTCTGCCTTCAGCTATCTGACTGGGATGAGTCCACCTGGGGGCCTTTGTGGAGTCTGATGGGCTGATTGAAATTGCTTTTGGCGTCTGGTGCATCTGGTCCTGATTTGTAACTGATTTCACTGTGGCCCCTCCGTGAAGCCTTTAAAGGACCAAAGTAAATCACAGCCTTAAAATCTGGGTCAGTTGAACCTTTATAGTTTTAGAGGTCAGGTCTGAAGCTTGGGGCAGTGAAACAGTCAGAAATAAGGTTTGTGAAAACTGCTTATTTGTGACCATCAAACGTAGCATTAGCAATTTAGTAAAGTAAGACTCTTGTTTCTCCCAACCAGTATCTCCAGCCCGGAGCAGTCAAATCAGATTCTGCAGGAAGTGGACCACAAAATCCGGTCTTACCCTTTCAGCTTCCGGGGGGCGGCCATACTGAGCGGTCAAGAGGAGGGGGCGTATGGCTGGGTCACCGTCAACTATCTCTTAGAGAACTTCATAAAGGTGCCATGACTTGCGTGAAGTGTGTTTTTCTAGTTAGCAGGATTTAATCAGTTGGACATTTTAGAAGTATCCAGTCAGCCAGTTATATAGTCAGTATTTTTTCATTTCATTTTGAAATCTTCCATGTACAGCAACAGCGGGCTAATGAGGACAGCTGTACTTGATGCAGGATAGTGCAACTAATTTCTCATTAAGTAATTCATTTAAAATAGTTAATTGCTGCAGAGATGATCTGACAGTGTTTGCCATTTTTAAAGCTTATTTAGAGGGTGACTGATGACACCTAGTGGCCTCTTCAACACTACTGTTCATCCATCACTATCCCTTCTATTGTCAGAGGTGGCATTGGGGATGAATCTCTGGGTCAACTTGAGAAATTTGGATAAAATTCTCTTGCTCATTATCTTCTGTGTCTATTCTCCTTGTTATTTCTTTGCAGTATGGTTTCGTAGGGCACTGGTTACGCCCCGGCAGGCCCACAGTAGGAGCGCTTGATTTCGGCGGGGCGTCCACCCAGATAACATTTGCGACCCAGGAGGAAGTAGAGGACGAACACGACATGATGAAGCTGCATCTTTATGGCCATCGGTACTCCCTGTACACACACAGCTACCTGTGCTACGGGCAGGACCAGGTCCTCAAGAGACTGCTGGCTCATATAGTGAAGGTAGTGTAACATGTAGTAGACCTTTTTATTGTATTTATATTATAACACAGGAGTGAATACCTTGAACCTGAAATGGTTACACTGTGCCAGAAATGCATGTTGTCAAGATATTGTGCCGAAACTTATTTAAGGGATATGATCTCATGTGGACTGTTGAACATGGTGGCAGTTAAAGTAAGTGATGAGCTTTGTACAGTAGGTTGAGACAACATTTATTTTCTCTGGTCAGGATCCAGATGTTACATTAACTGTCAGGCTCAAAGTTACCGTCTTCAGACCCAGACTAAACCAGACTGCAACACTGAGCAGTTAAACAGATCCTGACCTCATAGTTAAAATCTAGAAATACAATTTGTATAATGTGCAATTTGTATGCTTTGAATGTACCTACAGATTTCACACATTTGTGTTTTTCTGTATTGCACTTAATAAACACAAGATATCTGGTATTAAAGTAGCATATGTACAAAACAAACAGCATGAATATTGCATGTGAAATCTGTATGAAAGCTGCTATTATCATCATTATATTATTATCCTACTGGATGTTTGAGACAGATACAGATGGTGATGAACATTTGAGAGCTGAAAAGAGAGTGAAAAATTTGATAGCACTATATCTTACAATATATGTTACACAAATTATAGACACACAAAGCATAAACAAACATTTCCGGTACGTATCCCTTAAATTTGGTTATGAAACAGTGACTGACAAATTTACTGATCAGGACATTTTACAGTTGAGCAATTAGTTATAATTACACTTAATTAACGGAATTATTTGTTTATTTATTATTGTAAGTTTTGTCAGTGCTCTCCGTTGGACAAAAGTCTGTTTCCTGCAGTAATATAGACCAACATATTGGACCATACCAAATCAGCCATGCCAATATTGGTCAGAGTTCTAATTACTATCTCTCTCTCTCTCTCTCTCTCTCTCTCTCTCTCTCTCTCTCTCTCTCTCTCTCTCAGACTCAGGATTACTCTGGTTCAGTAACTCACCCCTGCTACCCTGCAGGCCACAATAAAACCTTAAAGTTGAACAGTATATTCAACTCTCCGTGTACAGAAAAGTATAAACCCAGCTCCTACAACTCCCAGGCCTCTCTGACAGTACTAGGCAGCGGACATTATGAACACTGTCGGGGCAACGTGTCCGAGATCTTCTCCTTCATCAGCTGCCCCTACTCCCAGTGCTCCTTTGATCAAGTCTTCCAGCCAAATGTCACCGGTAGCTTCGTGGTAAGAATGTCTGGAGGGGATGGATGGCACAGAGGGGTTATACACACTGGTGACATTGTAGACTAAAGGTCAGCCTGTACACAAGGGATACAGACACAGTGTTGCTCACAGTTCATCACAAGTTCATCATTTTTTACCATTTTCAGAACCGCAGACAGACAAACTATATCCTGTGAGTCAACGATTATATACACAGCAAGCATTACTGGATAGCACACAAACAAAACTATAAAAGATGCTCACATTTGGATCAGCAGTGATCTAAAATTACATACTTTGAATGGAAACCTAAGAGCAGAATGGACTTCTGAGCACAAGATCTTTCCCTCAGTAAAACTAGCTACACTAAGGAATGCTCCCTTTCAATTTTTATTACATTTTCTGTTTTCCAATCATGTAAATCAAAGCTGTGTTTATTCAAATTATAGTCAAATTACAATAGTTTTTTCAGAAATGTAGTCTAAAATCTAGTCCAAAATTTGAAAAACACTCAAACAGGTACAGGTGCCTCCATATTGTAATAAAGTACTGTATTGAATAAAGTACTGTATTGGATATGTGGCATTTATATGTATTAGCTCAGCCTTGTAACGGTAAATACGGTAAATAATTACTGTAACTAAAGAACAGACTTACACACACGGAAAATTGTGTTGTGACTTTCTACAGATGTATTGACAACTTACATAATTTCACAATAGGCTACTCACTAGAATAAATACCATATGGCCTTATAATGCAAAGAAAAACAGAAAAATAGGCTGTAGACATTATTTATTCTATCAATGTACTATTACTGAGTTTTGCATTTTGTCCTGTTTCTGTGTTATCAGGCGTTCTCTGCATTCTTCTACATTCACTCCTTCCTGCAGCGTGTCACCGGCATCACTGTGAGCTCCCCTTCCCAACTGGAGGAGGCAGCCAAAACTGTGTGCACGATGAATTTCCACCAAGTAATTTTCTTTTCTATTTATGTTCTATTGTAAAATATCTTATTTGTGTGTGTGTGTGTGTGTGTGTATGGAATCTGCAGTATGCCACCTGACCAATTTACATCTTTGTTGGTTAATTATCAGTTTGTTAAGTAGTGCTTTTAAAACTATTCCTAATGGAGTGAAATTTTTTTAAAGGCGTTTTACTTCATTTGGAAGTAACTTCACTGCTAGACGCCACTAAATCCTACACACTGGTCCTTTAACTTTTCATCTAGTGTCACCAGGCCACATTTTCAATTTGTCCATTCCTTTGATTTATGACTAAATACCTGCAAAACTAATTACATTCGCATCAGCCTCAGTTGTACTTTGTGTTTTCTGCTAATTAGCAATGGTAGTAGCATTCTAACGTGCTAAACTAAAATGGTGATGGTTATATCTGCTAAATATCAGCATGTTATCATAGTCACTGTGAGCATATTAGCATGCTCTCAATAGCATTTAGCTCAAAGCACCACTATGTACAGCCTAATAGAGCCACTAGCACATATTATATAACATATTCTACTTTATTGTATATGGTGATTATATTTTATACTTAATGTTTTAATATATTTTATTTTATTCTCTTTCTGTACTCTTTGCCCCTCATAATACTGTGCCAATTTCCCCTACAGGGGATCAGTAAAGGAACATCTTGTCTTATCTTACTCACTCTGGACCCCATACACATTTTTGTCCTTTTGAATAATTCTTTTGTTTTAATTAATTTTAACACGGTCTTGGTTTTTGTTCCAGATGCTGACTCTTGCTCCCGAGCAGCAGTCTCGTTTGCAGGACTACTGTGCTTCCTCTGTGTTTGTTAATATTCTCATGTTGAGAGGATACAGCTTTGATGAGACGTCGTTCCCACGCATTTCCTTCCAGAAGAAGGTGAGAACTTCATCATCACTTTACAAAACAGTTTTTGTCCTCGATGCTCATTATCAAATGCACTAATTTGTTGTAACAATTTGTTTCTGATCCTCCAGGCGGGGGACGCCTCAGTGGGTTGGGCTCTTGGCTACATGCTCAGTTTGAGCAACTTGCTGCCGGCAGAGAGCGCAGGGCTGAGGAAGGCCCTCACCCCGGGAGCGTGGGGAACACTCATCTTTCTCTTTGTCCTCCTGCTGGCAGCAGTCCTGGTCTTCATCTTACTGCGAGCTTGTGTTGGGAAGAATAAAGGAGGCAGCGAAAGCACCATCTAGATACTGCAACAACATACAGTGCAGTCTGACAACAGAAAGACAGTGATACGTTTTTGTTTGTGTTGGCCCTGTATTCCAGCATATTGGACCTGAATATGAGCTTTACTGTATTGAAGGGCGTTCACATTATAATAGGTGAACAGTGTAGGAACTGTTTCTCTTTTTATACAAAGTCCCCCAATTTTAAGTTAATGCAGCAGACCAATGATCCTAAACATAGAGACTGCACTGTATATGCACTGACTGCAAAGGATCTGACTACAATTACATACCTGTAATGACTTTATGTGCACGTATACTAACTTGTCCAGTTACTCTATGTCCCCTAAAATTATAGGACTGTGTATAAAAATCACTACAACTCCTTCACTGTTCATCTGATTGGACTTTTTTGTTGTTTTTTTTTAAAATCCAAATCTGAAATTTAGTACACGACCAACACAATGAAAACGTGCCACTGACCAAATCTTGTCATAAACAGTAGTCCTGTGGTAGCATTGGCACTACACGGGAGGTCTGAATGTAATTTTTATTGTTGAAAAATTCAAACCAATTTTTGGTTGTATGGAATGTCATACATTTTTGTAGAAGATGTGACTGTATTAGGAAGCCCTGTTACAGTAAAATGTAGACTATACACTGTGAAGATAACTACCAGTTTTATATGTAAATAATCACTATTTTACTTTTTTTTTGTATTCAAAGAGGTTTTTCAGGTGGGAGTTTTTATTCACATTTTAGTCTAGATTAATTAATTAATGTTAAATAATTAATCATGTACAGGTTTGAATGAACAACAGGTGTTTGCGTATTATAAACATCTGTTAACAATCAGCTGTCTCTGAGAACCTTAAAGCTAAGCAGAAAAAAAAATGACTGACCATTAGTCGTAGTGAAAGTTGGTGTAGGTTACTGTGCGTCGCTTTCAACCCATTCAGCCAATATTCAACGGAACAAGTGTGACAACAGATTAAAGATAGAGTATAGATTCAATTAATGTTATACCTTACCAACATTTTCAGTAGAATTAGCCACATTAGATGCTTTGTTAATATTAAGTCATTGTGAATTTTGAATTATAATGACATTACATTTCTCTCTGTGTGGTCATTTTATGTTTTACCTCAGATAAAAATAAATAAATGTCTTATTTTGATTGTTTCCTTTCTACAAGCAGTCTCCTGTGTTTGGGTCCTTTCCATTCAGCTAATGCTTCTTTTCCTCTTTGGTTTGCTCTGAACTACAATTACCAGAACGATTTGCTTTACGGAAGTATCCGGCTCGTTCTGATGACGTCGCATTGCCTTCAGAATAAAAGCGGGGATAGTTTTATTTGAGATAAGGTTAGGTGAAGTGATTTTATGTTTAATCTTCGTACCTATTCGGTGAATGTCAAGATTAGTAATTGGGATCAGTAACCTAAATAAGAAAATATAACGTTGAATTAACGTTAATCATGTTTCAATGTTGTGTTTTAGATTTAACTGTAAGTCCTCAAAGTCTTAGGGCTGGATGGTTGGTTGAGATCTGGGCCTGCATTGTTCCACACCAAAAAGAGGTGAAACAGGCTTTAAATTCTCAAGCAGAGAGAGAGAGAGAGAGAGAGAGAGAGAGAGAGAGAGAGAGAGCAGCCTGGTGTTAGATAACTCATTAAAAGCTAACACCAGGATTCAGTACTTGTTTGTAGCTTTTATTTTGAAGGCGATGGCCGGAAGTGTTCTGTGTTGTTGCTGCATGGCGGAAGAGTCGCGACGGTGGATGAGCTGTTCTCTGTTGTAACGAGTGAATGTTGTTTTATTTAGGTTTACTAAACTAACAGCGGTCCGCTGAGCTGTCCAGCTGTCCAGCTGTCTGCGCAGACAGAAAATACAAGCAGTCTGTGTGTTAGCTGGTTTGCTAGTGTGCTCGCTGAGGGGTTTGGAGATGTGCACACAGACCAAGGCTGCGGCGCTGATGGCCAACATACCGCGGGCAGACATCGACCCGTCCGGCGTGTTCAAGTACGTCCTCATCCGAGTTCACAGCAGAGAGGAGGGAGACGACTCGGAGGTGGACATAGTCCGAGGGTACGGCTGGGCTGAGTACCACGGTGAGTCCGGAGCACTGAAAACACATGGATAGATGAATGGGCTGCAAGGGGCTGTGATACAGTGGGAAACGACCAATTACTGAACGTACGACATACCTAGCTGAAACTAATGCAGTCTAATATAGTCTTCTATATAATATTGTGACCATAAAGCTGAATAACACCATTTTCAAACAGTTTCAGTCAGATAAAGTCAGAGTAATAACAGCCTGCAGTCCTGTGTTTGGATTTTTGGTTTTAGTGTATATTTTAGATTAAAGACAGATTATGCCTTTAACTAAATCACACTGCCGTGGTTTAATATGGTAAAATATACATAAAATATTCACATACTAATGTGAAAACAGTAAGTAGTAATGACCGTGCTTTGCATTCAGTATGGGAAGGTCTACGCTGCCCCCTGCTGGACAACACTGAAACATACACCTTCAGTTTGTTCTCTGTTGTGAGTTATTAAAGACAAAAAGCTAAATCGTTGTCATTTAACAAACGTGTTCATTCAGTTATGATACAGTAAATGCATACATCAAAATTAAATATAAATAACAGCGTGTATCGTATTCCACTTTATTGTGTTGTTTAATTTCTGCAGTAATTAAGAACAGTTTATCAATATATTCATTTCCACACACAAGTCTGCATCTGAAGTGCAGAATAAGATCAAGTCATCGGCCTCATCCAAAACACCAGATGGATGGCTGCGTCCACACAACAAGCAGCCATTTGTGATGATGCGTAAACATATTTTATTTACAGTTGGCCACTCAAACACAAGAGGCTTCATTCAAACAAATGTGTTTAAGCGATAATCCAAGCACAGCTGTTATTTATAGAAATATATATTTATTGATCCCAGATTCTGTGGTTCAAATTATTCCTCTGTCATCTGAATTCCAAGTGATGGGCGTACTGTATTTTTCACTGTTATAACTCATTTCATGTAGAGCTAAATGTATTAGAAAGCACACTGCTGCATGCATGGCTCACTTGTTATTTGCTTTCTCTTGCAGCTGATATCTATGACAAGGTTTCTGAGGAGCTGGAGAAGGGCGGCCACCTGGACTGTGAGTGTATCGGAGGAGGGAGGATCAAACATGATGCACAGGCCAAGAAGATCCACGTCTATGGATACTCCATGGTGAGAGACTCCTGCTGGATAAAAACCTGAGATTATGTAAACAACAACAGCACATAGAGTAAATAAAACCAAAACTATGAGCGGAGAGGCTTAAAAGCGCCATACTGCCGTTGTGTTGGCTGATAATTGAAGATGGGTTTTTCACTACAAGGGGTACCTTTCCCATTGTCATTATATTGAGAGTTAAATATTGATCATTTGAGCTTAAATAAATCGTTTCGAACTCAAATGGAACATTGATGTGTAACTTTTCATTGCAGGGATTTGGAAGAGCAAACCACGCAGTAACTACTGAGAAACTGAAGGCTCGGTATCCGGACTATGAGGTGACCTGGGACAATGAAGGATATTGACCTGAATCAAGACCAGCCTCTGTTGAACACTCTTGTGGACTGAGTTAGCACTTACCTGTAACCCCTCATGAGAGCACAGAGCCTGTAGTTAAACACACAGCCTAATAAGGAGCCTTTTGATACCACATTAATAAACTAAGACTAACATAGAGACAAGTGTGTTTCGGAAACAAGCCTTTTTTGGGGGGTTACTCACTATGTGGCAATTTGAGTAAAGAAATAGCAGACCGTCAAAATAAATAAATAGACAAGATAACTGGTCGTGACAGTTTTGCAGAGTGACCGTGACTGTCACTCACTGACTTGTTTTAGAGTCACATAGCCTAAATTTGACCTAAGTGAATCACTAAGATATACTGGAACGTGAACCCTCAATGCTTTGTCATGATGTATGTTTCATAAATATTACCAGAAATCTGCTTTTAAAGTTTTGTGCATATTGTGTTCCTTCCACTGTTACTTATCTTACTCACCAACCGACTGTGAACTGCTGATGAATGTTGCGGCCTTAATTTAATGCGGGCAGATAAGAGCGAAATGAACCTGATGATCTTCCAAGATTACCACTGTGCTGAAAGTAGAGGATGCTAGATATGCTGTTTTTTTCCATTAGCTAACAGTTGCCAGCAGACAGCGAGCAATGTTAACATTTATTTAAAGTCAGGTTTCAGGACCGTATTTAATGCTAACACATCCCTCTTTCTTGAATCAAAAGGGTCAAGTTGCGGATTGTAAAGACCAAAACAATTTCCAGAAGGCTCTGTAGAGCTGAGGGCATTGGTTATTGGTATATGGAGGCAACAGTGGTCTAAATTAAGCCTTTCTAGCTGTTCTAGTCCTCCCTCGTGGCCAAAAGAACTACAGAAGTGGTAAAATGGCTGCAAAGACATGACTGACATAAAAACTGACAATAACACTAATACAGTCCATTGAGCTAATGAACTATAATATATACTAACTTATTTAATAAACCCGAAAAATCATGTAACGTGATATAAATAGCTGGTTTTAGTTTAACTTCCACATTTCCTGTTTTTCACGTACTGCCAACATTATGAATGTAGCATGAGACCTTCTAGAAAACTGAACTAAACTAAGTTCCCTTAAGCAAGGCACTTTACCCCCCAACTGCTAAAGTCCAACTTATAGTTGGGGTAAACTGCTATGTATCTACTTCAGTTATTGAGAAACGTACGGATGTAGCCTATATACTGCGGAAAACTCAAGGAAATTGTTTTATGACGGGTTGTTGCAGTTGCATGCTGGGAGAATTTAAAGTCCAGGTTTTATCTCTTACAAGGGGAGAAGAGATCAGAGTCAAGTAGTACAGACTCTCCAGGTTGTGTCCACACGGATCAGGCGGTGGACGAAAAACGACGATGAGGAGCTCAGCCCTCATCCTGCTGTTGACTCTGCAGCTTGGTAAGAGCACATTCAGCCAGACTCCATTCAAAAAGAGTTTTTAGTAACACTTTTCTGTCGAAATAATGCTACTGTTGGTGGTTGTGGTATGGTGTCATTCATAGAGAAGTTTTAAGTACACAACTCAGTGTTGAAAAGTTTCTAACAAGCTCTAAAAGTCTGTCAAAAAGGCTTAACACTTAATAGCTTCTTCCAGAACTTACAACCACTTATAAAATGAACCTAATCTACTGTTTCAGGTCAGGAATGAACTTTCAAGCTCAAGAGTTAAAAAAATGTTTCTCTGTTGGCATTAATCACTTTCACCGGTTGTCTTTAGTCTCTCAAACACAGGACCATAGATACCGTCACAGACACTGAGGTCCTTTGTATCTTTTCTTAAAATTTTGGCGAGGTTTGACTACCTGGAGATTCTATAAACGTACACGCGATGGTTCTCTTATAGGATAATTTCAGTATGTATTAGATTTGACTAGATGTAAGTGTACCATAAAACACTGTGCCATTAAAATAATGTTTTTTTTCCCCGGGAGGCTGGTCAGAATTTTTTTTGTGGTAGGTGGACTGGGGGCACGTTAAATCAAAAATCCTGCCTCTGGCCCTGCTCACACGTATCAATTTTAACCCCAGTTATGTTGCACTGCCTATGATTCATTTTGGCGACTTCATGTGGTTTCGTAACCTCCATTTACGTTGTTATTACCTAGAGATAGAGATAGTTTTTAATTGGTTTTTCCATACAAATGATAAAACCAGTTAAGACATTTTCTCTCAACCTGTCTCATCCTCACTACTAATCTAACAAATCTTTTTTTATACAGTAGGACATATATACTTTATTTCAAGTTCACACGTTACATTTTAGATTGTGTTCTTACAGTGTTTACATATTTATTTTGTTTTAAAAGGAAAAGAAAAAAAGGTAAAAATGTCACACTCATTTGCAGTACCATATGTATGTCAAATAGAAAAATACAGATACATTCATGAATTAAAGTGAATAATCCAGCTAATTAAATCTGTGTTTGTGTTGTGTGTGATTTCCAGCTGGCGGGTCACTGAAACACAAAGTCTTGAGTCTTAATCAGAGACCTTTGGATGGACGGATGACATTTTGCTGCTGGTGCTAACCCGTTTACTTCTCTCCGGCCTTTGAGCCTGTTGGCATTAGTTGTGCCATAAATCTTTGACAGTTATAAATCCTGATAAGAGAGTTTGGGGTTGAGTAATCTGTGAGATTAAAGCCTTCGAACAGAGGCAAGGATGGAAATTACTTGTACTGTTCTGATCTTTTAGGTAGACTATAGTTTCATCCAATTGATTTTAAATTAAAAATGTTGTACTTTCTACTCCACTACTACATTTATCTGACGTCTGGAGTTACTTGTTACTTTTCACAATTAGAGTTTTAATTCAAACACGCACGAGTTAAGCTGAGAGTTCATTCTTGACCTTGGAATCAGTCAGTCAGTTGACATGTCTCCAATAAAGGTCCACTTCCCTGCTCGTTCCAGAGCTGTCAACCTTATCCCTTGGTCTACATCAGGAGACGATGCTTGACGTTTGTTTTATTTTGATTGTGAATTTAATACGGACTGTTCAGAGAAAAGCCTTGAGCTACAGGAGATCCAAATGAATAAAAACATGGATGGAATAGTCCAAAAAGTGCTCAGAATAATGGAAAGTTTCTAAATCTTCATTTCCATGACAACTGAACAAACTTCTTGCTATGATGAAAACTTTCTGATACGGTCAAAAGCTTCAGAACATATAAGTAGTTAGACCTTGAATGAAGATTGTTTTGCTAAATGAGAGAAGCTGATAATATGCTAATTAAAAAGTCAGACCTGGTGTCACCCAAACCATCATCAGTATTTACATACAGCACACAGTTGAATGTATTTCTCTTTTTGTACAGCATTCTTGAAAAGAACTTCTACATTTGATGTTGCACATATATTATCTGATGAAAGGTTTGTCTACATCTCTGGGCTGGATATTTATGTCAAATAGTAAATGGACTGCACTGGCATAGCGTCTTTTTAGTCTTCCAACTTCTTAATGTGTTTTAGGCTACAGGTCACATTCACCGTTTCACATATATTCATACACTGATGGCAGAAGCAGCCATGCAAGGCCATCTGCTCATCAGAAACTAAAACGAGTTCATTCACACACATTTGTGCACCGATGGCACAGCACACAGCATCAATGGGGTTCATCGAACCGCTGATCGTCTGATTGGAGCACTCTACTCCTGAGCCACAGCTGCCCCCAATATATATATATATATATATATGTGTGACATAATCTAGGTATTGCTTATATTTGCTTTTTAGTTATGTAAAATTTACTAATTATTTAATCTATTAATATTTCAACTTTTTCTTAAATAAAGGACTTTAATAATAATGTTGTTACCACTGGCCAGAACAGAAATGGACAAAACCAAAACATTTGGATAAAATAATTTCAGAAAAAATGATCTCTCACTGTATGTTTCAGTTATCAGTTTATTCCGTATTAGTTAACTTTGATATTTTATCTTATTCTACAGTGGCTGGTTCTTGGGCTCAGTGTCAGAGTCCTGAGAGGAAATGTGATTTTGTGTGTGACTGTTCTGACTGCAGCGATGAGCAAGACTGCGGTAAGTTTTTACAGAGAGGGCATTGTATCTACACAGGTTGACACCTGATCTGATGTACATTCGAAAGTTAACTATTATTTCTTTTACACCTTTCAAGGCTACAGAGGAAAGACGTTTGAGTGTGACTTTGAGGATGCAGGAATGTGTGGATGGACTGACCAGTCCATCAATGCAGCAGAGTACAACTGGGAGCATCGTCAGAGAGGGGATACGCTGCCCGACAGCGGGCCGTCCTCTGACTACACCACCGGGACAGCTACAGGTATAGTTTAACACACAGTCACTAATCCCTTTTTTATTTTGTTTTGTCTTTTTCTCGTCAGGTTGTAGGTGCCACAGGTGTCTTTGAAAGTATCAAGCACCTTTTAAATGCCAGAGTGCCAAGGCCCAGAAAATGTGCTCATTTAGCAGCTAAAGAGCCAGATATTTCCCTCAGGAGTTGGTGCAGACCAAAACAGAGCTAAAAAGAGAATGAACAGAAACATAACTCCCAATGCTGCACCGTAACTGCTGCTTGTGAAGCTAGGCAAATGCACGCTAAAAGTTTGTCATATCAACTTAAAAGGTGATATGTCAGTGTTGGGTTTACAGCTTATTTCCACTGCCCCCAAGTGGCAAAAATTATTAATTAATGTATTTTAAGTATTTTGTTTGTGTTTTACGTATCAATTTTCATGTGTATCTTTGTTTTGTTTTGTGTTTTTTGCCACATAAGGGAAGTGGAAACCTGCTGTTAATACAACACCACACACTGTTATGTTTTTACAGTTAGCTTAGCAAAACTATAAGCCGAAAGAGGCTGAAAAGCACTGTATAGCTGCAGAGTTGTTGATAATTCTGTGGCCCCCCACGTACAAAGGCTGTCCTTACTGCAGTGGCTATGGGTTGGACTCCAGCCTGTGGCCCTTTTCTGCGTGCCCGACCCCCTCCCCCTTTCCTCTCCTCTTTTCAGCTGTCAATATCAATTAACAGCAATAAAAGCTCATAAATATATTTCCCATCACACAGGTTCATTTATGGGAGTGAGCGCAGTGAAGAGTCTCAGCACTGCAGTTCTAATCTCCCCAGAGATGAAACAGTCTTCACCAACCTGTCGCCTTCGTCTGAGATATTTCCTGTGGGACTCAGGTAACGACCGTTAATGAATACAGGTCATACATTCAAACTGCCTGCTTTGGCCAGCTTCTCGTACATCTTAAAACAAAATGTTAAAAGACATGATTTCATGGTATTTTGTAGTACTTGTACTAGCAGTTTTTATATATATTTCATATACTGTATATTGGTTACCATCCGTTTCCTATTTGTAATTTATGGTTAATTATAATTCTAATTTGGTCGATTTTATTGTTGTGTAC